AGAACCCTCTCGAAGCCCTAAAACCCAGACCCTGAAGCCCGAAACTCTCCCTTAACCCGGACATGCACTTCTGACGCTGGGACTTGCCCATCAAGCGTAAGACAAGCTCAAGCTGCACGACGTATCTCCCTATCTCCTCCACATTGGCGTCGATGTTTTCTTCAATCAGCCCTTTCATCCGATCGAGGGTGGGATTTGCAATAGGTCCCTGTATGAAAGGGAGGGCATCAACCGCATAGTGGTAAAGAACCTTGCTGGCCGCGGTGGCAACGAATGCATCTGTGCTCAGGGAGTACCGAAGTAAACTCTGGATGTTCAACTCAACAACTCGGTGGACGTGACTTTCGGCAAAGTGGGTTGTTCGCTTGCGTGCCAGGGCCACACACCACGTCCGACCTCAGGATGTAGCAGAGTCGGCTGCAGTCGGCACAGCGCAACGGGCGCACTGCTGTGCCGTCGGGCATGCTCAACAACTTAGGAAGTCAAGGTGCATTCGTGGAACTTCTGCTGCTCGGCATCGGCTCCAGAGCCTACTGCGAGCGATGCATCCGGGTTGCTGACACGCGCATCCACCTGATCCGCGAAAGCGACAATGGCAACAGATGCACCAGATAAATCTACAAGCCCATGTCTACCTTGCTGCAAGTGGCTCATTCTGGTACTGCGCGTTTTCGAGAGGGTGCCAATCCGCACGGAAAAGCAGGTCCTGGCAAGGCTCGCTCCGATGCGGCACAGCCACTGCAGTGATGAAATGCCCACGCCTCGCTGGACCATCCCTGGTTCCCTGCGCCATTCCGCCACCCAACCATGGCTGGGCCGCACGAGTGATGTCAAGCTTTGGGCGTGCGCCTCCTGGTCCTTCACTGCAGTGCTGCAATCTCTCTCGGCTGAGAGGACATCTGCAGTAGAAGTAGTCAGTCTCATCTGAGTGCACTGTCCAAACGTTTGTGCAGAACTGCGAGGCTGAACCAGAGCAAGAACGTCAAAGCCAGCGACGATAATCCCGTGACCTCCCTAGTGTTCAAACTGTCACAAGGGCTCACTTTGAAGCTACCCTTGCTTAAGCTCTGTTTTCCGATCGCCGGTCAGTGTGTGCCCATCGCCAGATTCGGACCTCTTATGTTTGGAACTATTTCATATCAATTTAGTTGCAATGACCCTTCTGACGCAGAAAACATATTATATTGATTTTAATGATGTTTCATAGATGATTTCGAATTGCTTGCATGTATCTGGTTCATTGCAATAACCATCTTATCAACTTAATTTAGATATCATACCACTTCATCTTTGTTCCTGTAATTCTTTATAATATATAAGTTATCTAAATCATCATGACGATATGTTTTGATTGTTCCGTTTTCATATCTTCTGACTTTGAGAATAATAATCTTTTTTATTTCGTCTTACTTATCATCATTATAACTACACAGTTGTGCCAAGATGCGCTGCTGGGTTCAATACTGTCCCACACTCCGTTGACGCTCGTGGCGCTAGATCTGTGGTGGGAAGTGGCCTTTCAGCCTTTCCCGAACACAAGTCGACAACTTGATGTTCATGGCAAGCCTGGGTAATTAACCCTAAAACCTTAATTAAAGCTTTGGCATCCTAAGCTTCTGGAGGCTTTCTAAGGAGTTCTAGGTGGAAGCTCCTAAGTCCTAAGGCTGAGACCTAATCCTACGATCTCAGAAGCAACTCATGCTGTGCTCAAGCCACAGTGCACTCAGAAAACCCTCAGAAAGGTCTCAGACGAGGCTGCTTAGGGATATGGCACTCAGGGCCACAAAACTCAGGAACACGGCGAGTTTCATGGCTCTGGTCATCCTGGGCTCAGGCTTAACTAATTTCTTACCTAAACACTTATCTACTCAGCCTCACTAACAATTGCAGCTTAGAGTCGCTCAGGAAGAGTCGAAGGCGAAGAGCTAAGGGCACCATGTTGCTGAGGCAAATTGCTGGTGGAGGTGGCAAAACTCAGGAAATGCACAAGAAATGCCTTCTTTAGTACTAAGAACCAGTACTAAACGACCTTATGTTGGCGCTTTTGCTCTAAGTTTAATAAATAATTAGGCCTAAGGCTCGGCGGGTTCGAGGTTTTGGGGTAACTAAGGGCTTTCTTCCCTGTTTAGTACTAAGAATGGGTATAGGCGGATTTTTGCGCGGA